AATTTGGTTTAACTGTATAATCTGTATAAGTATGGAGTTGCTTTGCTTTTTTTCTGAACTGGTGTAATAAATTTTAATCTTTTAATAGGCTATCTGTTGCCTGTGTTGTTACTGTTGTCATATTGTGTGTGATTTTAATTTTAAAACCTTTTTAATTAACATTTTAGTTTTTTTTGTATTTACCCTGTAACTACATGGAACAAGGGAGGAACAAGTGGGACATAAACACAGAACAAGTGTATATTTGCACAGTAATTACAGAGAAAAATATTGCAGTAGTTTTAATTTAATTGTTCGATGGCCAAATTAAACCCTCTACATTTTTTTGCTATATAAACACCACAGTATACATCCACTGAAATACAAATGTTGTATCATGTATTTTTTCTGCGAACAGCTGGAAAGAGGTCAACTTGTTTTAAGCTGCATTGAACCTTGATGGTATATCATGCAAAGTTATTTGGTGATAGTGGTGTTGAGAAGTTGCTGGTGTGAAGTTGCTGAAATCAACGAATAAGCTTTCACTAGGTAAGTAGACTTGTGAATTATAAATCATAGTAGAAACTCATTAACTCATTTCACTAGATGTCCAGTTTTATTGTTTAGTAATCTCCATCATGTCCGTCCTTTTATAATAGAATGTGTACCCCATGGTTAAAAAATACCTATACGCCTATAATAAAATACCAATATAAAATTATAAAAAATATATATCACCTTTCTAAATCATTCCCAAACATAAGATTGTTGTTTAGGCCATACATACCATGTAATATTAGAATAAGCACCTCTTAGTTTCAAAATACTACAGTATAAATGATTTGTAATTTTACAGGTTGTTACCCCTTTATTCCCCAAACTTTGCATATTATTCCCTTATATCTACACGGAGGTACTGAATAGGTACACTATAATTACAAAAATGTTACACTGTAACTTCAGTTTACTTACGCAGTTCTTTGCAGGTTGCATATCTGGTTGTTACCCCCTTATTACCCAAACGTAACACATTGTTCCCTTACACCTACATGTATGTTCTTTATAGGTACACTATAATTACAGAAACGTACACCGTAAATTCAGTATACTTACATAGTTCTTTGCGGGTTGTAATCTATAGCGTTACCTACTATTTTTGTTGGCTCTGCAAAAATAGACAAAATAATATTGTCTAAAATGTAAGTTGGACTTCTTATCTTCTATATTAACTATTAACTTATTGTACTGTTGTGTAAAATCAATAGCACACATGCAATCATGTTGATATTAACTGCATATCAGTGTGGCTGTGATAAGGCCAAATTTCTCGTGATATTTCTTATTTTATAGTGTGTTTTGTAAAATCATTATGTTAAATCATTAATTACAGGAACCGTTTAATAGATTGTCATCTGGCTGGTCTAGAATCTGATGTTTTTCATGTTCAGTTTCTCATTGTCAGGTCTGGCTTAGTTGGTATTGTAAAAACATACCGAGATGATATTGTATTATATCTTTGTTTATATTTTACAGTTACAATCCACAGATGGGATGTCTGGGTTTGAAGTCCATAAAACAGCTGGGAAGCTTTGTAGACTGCAGATCAGTGCTTATACACTTGTGTCTCTGAAGCCGTTTCAAGCTCCTCTACAGCTTGTCACACTGTAGGACAGGTCAGTCTCAAAGAACGCTTATTATTTATGGGGCTAACCACCAGAGGGCAGAACAAAGAGGCACCAAGTTTGTGTGTGCACCCCAGAGCAGAATCGATCACTGCAGACTAGAGGTAGTCCCTCACGTCCCAGCAATAAGCTATGTACATCACACACACAGATACAAAGACACACATACACACATTAGGAATTATTCATGAGAGAGGTGTAAGTCAGTCAGAGTGACACACAAAATCACTGACTAACGCTCAGTGAGTCAGTCTTAAAGAAAGACAGAGCTGGTTTTATTTGGATGGTGGCGATCATTGATGTGTGTGTGAAACTGTGGGTGGACCGTCTGTGTGTGTGAGTGAGAGTGTGTGTTTCAGTGATGTACTGTATAGTGCTAGAAGCTTTTGCTTGGCCAAGCCTAGCAGTCTGTGACCAGATTACTGTCTCTCTCCTCATCCCCCTCCATTCCTCCCTCTTTTTTTTCACACTCGCTTACTCTCTCCTTCAATTTCCCTCCTCCTGCTCCCTCGCTCTTCTCTTTCCCTGTATTCATCGCTCTGTGTTGATGATTCCGTTATCCAAATGGAGAGGAACAGAAAGAGAGCTGGCTGTGGGGCCGCCATGTCTGTGCGCTCTCATATCGTACGCTGAAGAGCTTTATATCACAAACCCCTTGAGAAAGACACACGCCATCTGATGGCATTGCATGTTTTTCTAACAAATAAAACAGGGATGTAACCAACATTCACTAAATATTCAGATTCTTAGAGGGATAGTTCCTTCAATAATTAAAATTATGATGTTCCAGATAATTAAGCTATTCCAAAAATGTGAATGCTTCTGTTTTCTGTGGAACACAAAAGAAGATATTCTGCAGTATGTTCACGCTGCTCTTTTCATTACAATGTAAGCGAAAGGTGTCCAGGGACTGTCAATAAAGATAATAGTAATTGCCTTTATTAAACATGCTAGAGACTGAAACGTGTGAGTATGGTATATTGTTTATTTGAAAATTAATAATTGATGAAAATAGTTGGATATGTGTTGCACACCTAAAAGTGAAACAAAGGAAAGAATAATATTCTGTTAAATAATAAAAATAAATTGAAACATTTAAAAGTGTTTTCAAGTTTTTGGACCTCAAATTTATGCACATACACCTTTCAAAAGTTTGCTGTAAGACATTTTTTTAATTAATACTTTTTATTTATCATAATTTCAGCAATTAGTTTTTTAAAATTCTTATAATTAGAAATGTTTCTTGAGCACCAAATCAGCATATTAATGATCTGAATAGTCATGTAAAAATTGTATTTTAAAATGTTAATAAAATATATTAAAATAGAAATAAGTTATTTGAAAATGTAATAATGTTTCAAAATATTACTGTTTTTACTGATTTTTTAAATCCAATAAATGCAGTCTTGGTGACTTTAAACAATATTTTTTACCAACCCAGAACTTTTGAATGATAGTCTGTATCTACAATAAAATAAAAAGATAATTCTATTAATAAATTAGAAGTAAAAATAAAACAGTTTATGTTTCACTCCACAAATGCTTCCAATATCTCTCTCTCTCTCTCTCTCTCTCTCTGTTCCCTGTCTTTCTCCCCGTTAGTAAGCTGATCTCTTGGCACCGTGCTGGAGGAGTCTTCCTTTTCTGGAAGGACCTGATGCATGCTGGTCGAGCCCTGCACATACACACATGTTTACACACCCTCACACACGTACACACACACAGCACAGAGGTGTCACATTTAATATTTCACTCTGTGCACACTTGCAAGCGCACACATTCTCAGAGAGCATATGAGCAGAGTATTGGCAGCAATCTGAATATATCTCTGTTTACTGTGTGAGAATAAGAGTTTACAGCTATTGTTCTTACTTTCTTGTCATTTGATTGTTCCTCTACACCTCCTCGTTTTGTTTCACTCTTGTTTAATGTGTTCTCTCCATCATTTCTCTCTCTCTCTCTTTCTTTGTGAATATTAGGATCGTCTGTGTGGGTGTGCTTAACAGATCAAAGCAGGTAGGCTATTCAACAGGATTACGCTCCTCTGCTTTTCTCCTTTCTCTGTTCTAAACTAATCTGTCCATCCCTGTCTCTCCGTGTCCCCTCCTTCTCTCTCTCTCCCTCTCTCGCTCTCGCTCCACTATCTCTCCACACCCTTTCTAGGGAACACCGGACAGAAGGCGGCGAGTCTTCTGGAACACAGAGGGAGAGAGTTCACACGAGAGAGCGTGTGCGCGTCCCTCAGCATCTCTCCCATCAACAAACACCATCAGCGGAGCTTTAATGGACTTCTCTGCCTGGTCCACGTTGATCCAAGTGAATGTTGGAATAAGGAGGATCGCCCAGGGAGTCCGATTGGATCAGCTTTCCCAAAATGAGTGAAGAAGCCAAAGAAAAAAGTAGCTCCAAACCAGCGCACCGTAAAAAGAAAGGCAAGAAGGTAAGGTAGAATTGCAATATGTTGTGTTATTGGGGTTTTGGCTGTTGTTTGCTCAAGGGCTCGTGCTGGATTGATGAAGATGCTTTAAAGCCACTGAGAGCTAGAAAAGTCAATAAGGGAGGTGTATGCCAGGATTTTGGAAACTATGGGTTTTTGATTTTTTTTTATTGATCTGAAGACTGCTATCCCAATGCATTGACTCTGATGTAATTTGTGTTGGCTGCCAATCACAGCATATTTCTAATTTTAATCCTTTAATAAAAAATATATTTTATTTTTATATAAGTATTTTTGTAAACTTAATTTTTTGAAACTATTTTGCTTTGTAATACAAAAACATAATATTGAAGAAAAAAATTTGTGTGCATGTTTAACTGTGAGGCATATTTTGATTGATGATTTCTTGGTATATCAGAAGATGGTTATTAGTGGGTGTGGTTTAGGTCAATAGGTCGATGTGCCTTTTCTGACAGTTAAACAATCTGAACCAATTTTTTTGGAATTAATTTAAATTACTTTTTGGAGGCATGTGTGTGAGTGACATGAAAAGAGGACGTGCAAATGGTTATGCATTCATGAAAGCATGTCCATCTTATGAAGCTGTGTATGTGCTGAGCTGGATGCCGTGTGTTTGTTTATATGTGTCGTTATCAGACTCGTTTATTTGTGATGTTATCAGACTTTTAGAACACTTTTGGTGTGTGTGTGACCGTGTGCGCTCCTCAGAATGTTTAGGATTTTTGCGCCTGTGTGTGTAAGCACTTGTGTGCGTGCTTGTTTGTGCATCTGTGCGGTTGTGTTTCTGAATTTGCATGTTGTGGAATGCTGAGTGATTGACAGATCCTGTCATGCAGTTATTTGGGAATTTGCAGAAAAACAAAAACATCTCTTTTGTCAAGAGTTATGTACGCCACATACACACACACTTAAATATTGAAATGGAACAAACGTTTTAATATCATATGCAAATATGATTTTCAGCAGTGCCTGACTGTTAGTATCAAACGTGTGTGAAGTCTGATGTTTGACACAAATACCTTAAAACAGTTGCATTGCTCTCCTTTGACTTTGAGGCTGATGGTATCTTTGAGCCCTCAAGGGACAAACTACCCCCTCCAACACACACCTAAACAATTAATGGATTTTCACCTATTGCCAATGGCCCCTCCATTTTTGGCTGTGCTTTTGTGTGTGTATGAGTGTGTACTTGTTCTTTATGAGTCATGCCATGTGGTATGTAGAGATTCTCCTGTTGAACTAACATTCATATCTTTTAAAAACATATACAGAGCAGCTGAAACATACACACACACACGCACACACATAGCAATGTTCTTGGTACACTAACAAATGTTAAACGATATGTAGTCTTTGTAGTTGCAATTTAGTTTGGGCCAAGACAAAAATTAAGCTACCACACTGCTACCACAATGTTTTTGTCTCGTTTCCAGTTTGTATCTTTAAAAGAAGATTTGAATTTCAGATATTAAAGATATTAACACTTATCTTGAATGTATTTGCGTTATTTGAATGTAATGTTATTTTATTTTATTTTATTTAAGATTTTTAAAAATTATTTTTACCTTACTGGTAATAGATTTTTACGATTAACAAAATTATTTTTTTTGTAGTGTAGTACGGGTTCCAATGATATTTCATTATTTCATTATTTCATTATTTCATTACTAATGGCATCATTTTCCTCAGCCATTAGTAAAAGGTTTTGGCAAGGAAGGCATTTTGTCAGCATTTTAATGGTCTGCGCCTGTCCGTGCATGTGTCTTGGCCTGCTTTGTTACTACACTGTGAGATAACCATGTGTTAATGATTGTAGTCATGGAAACAAGAGAAAGAAGGAGAGATTTAGACAAGACAGACCAACACAAAGAAGTATAAAAGCTGTCATCAGAATCGTATCTTTAAATAACATACACTGACGTCATATGAAACATTTTGCATTTGAAAATTCGAGATTGATCTCTCCAATACATTTTTTTTTCTTCATCGGCCCAATCAACAGACAGTATCACACGTGTAACAGCTCTCATGTCACTTGTCGCTATGGTGCTATCCAAGATCACATTGAGTGTCTAAAAGGGAGTGAGAGAGATGTTGTCTGCTGTCAAATCAAAATAAACTTCATATACTTGAAATCATATAAAAAATATTTTTTTCACACCGTTTGTGTGATTTCACTATTTATTACTTCTACTAATTTCCTTAACGGATGGTTCCTGAGTTCCTCATTTGCTCTGACTCCATCTGTTTTGGTCACACACAACTACACTTTTCTCACATGCTGTGTTTGAGTGAGTGTGTGCTTTGACATTTGTGCGGTCATAGATGTGAATGTGTGTATGATGCTGACATGGGGCGTGGTGCTCCATTATAGCCCCTCTGCCACCATCATGTCCTTCTGGCTGACACACACAGACACACACTTACAGCACTCATGAGCATTGCAACAGAAATATCAGCAAGTAAAAGAGATCCGACCACTTTGGCCAGAGAGATCAGACCTGTAAGTGGAGGGAAAGAAAGTTTGTTTGAAGGGTGGAAGGAAGAATTGATTGTTGGTATGCTGGAAGGAAGAAAGAAAAGGGAAGAGGAAGGAAAGAAAGAAGGAAGGAATCCATTCAGGAAGGAAGGAAAGAAAAAAACATTTCTGTCAGGACCACTATCGTCAAAATGATAGATACTTAGCATAAAGTTTGGTTTGGCGGTATGGTTCTGTTCTGGGCAAAAACCTCCCTGCCCATCCATGCAGCCTGTCATGAATGAGCAGGGAGATGGTATACTGGAAGTAATGAAAGAGAAATATTTTTGGTAGGGGGAAGAATGGAAAGAAAGAACAAAGGATTGTTGGTATACTGGGTAAAAGAAAGAAAAAGTAAGAAAGATTGGATATTGGATAGAAAGAAGGAAGAAAACACATTCTGGAAAATGGAAGGACAGAAAGTAAGATTGTTGTTATGGAAGGAAGGAAGGGAAAAAAAAGATTTTTGGCATACTGGAAGGTAGTAGGGAAGGGAAGGAAGATTGTTTGTAAAGAAGGAAGAAATGAAGGAAACAAGAATGGATTGTTGCTATGTTGGAAAAAAGAAAGAAAGTGGAAGGAAATGAAAGATTGGTACCGGAAGGAAGAAGAAACATTCAAGAAGGAAGGAAAGAAAGATTGTTAGTATTGAAGGAAGGAATCCAAGAAAAAAATGGATTGTTGGTATGCTGAAAGGAGGAAAGAAAAGAGAGACTAGTATTGGAAGGAAGGAAGGAAGGAAGGAAGGAAAACATTAGAAAGGGAAGTAAGAAGAAAGATAGAGATTGTTAGTATGGAAGGAAGAAACAAAAAAATCATTGTTGGTATGCTGAAAGGAAGAAAGAAAAGGAAGGAGGAAGGAAAAGAGATACAAGAAGGAAGGAAGGAAGGAAGATAGAAAGAGATAAAGAGAGAAAGAGAAAGATTGTTGGTATACTGTAAGTAAGGTAGAAGGAAAAAGAAAAATTGGTACTGGAAGGAAGGTTAAAATCATCCAAGAAGTAAGAAAAAAGAAAAATTGCTGGTATACTGGATGGAAGGAAGTTAGGAAGGAAGGAAGAAAAAACTTTCAGAAATGAAAGAAGAAAATACATTTATGAAAGCAATGAAAAAAGAACGATTATTGGTATGCAAGCAGGAAGAAATCAAGGTAGGAAGGAAGAAAAAACATTATAGAAGGAAGGAAAGTAAAGAAGGAAAAATGAGCCCAGCGTGAGAGCAGAATGAGAGAGAAATAACAAGCATAGATTTCTAAAATAGCGGGATCAAGAGAACAAGCTGCTTTTCTTTGGATGAAGGTAGAGAGAACCCAAAAGATGTCGACTTAAAGTGCTGACAGAAGGCATGGGAACATAAACGTGTGAGAGCAGGAGATGATGTAAACAAAACGAGCGAGCGAGGGAGGGTTAGTCTAAATGGAGAGACGGTGTATTTAAAGGGGCTGAGGGCACTAAATCATAACCGAGCTAGAGAAACCGTTGCCATGGAGCTTTTGGCAGAGGGGCAATCCATCAGTCTGCTCAACTGCACATGCGCAGACACATATGTTCACATGTAAACACGAACACATAGATTTGTGCACACAGAAATATTCATTAGAGCTTCCTAACAAAACATAACTGGGAAAACAATAAAAATGATTATTATATTTTAAGATTTGCAATGAAAGAATACATATTTAAAGCTAAAGGTATCATTAATACGTTTCTAAAAGTGTGCTGGTGTTCCTGGGCCAGGCCGGCAGAACAGGTTAGAAAGGAAAACGTGACTGATACTTGAGCAAAACATTCTGTTGCTCCCTCTGTAATCTTAATCCCACTTCTGAGCAAACAGACAGATTTTCCCAGCCTATCCAGTGTCTGCAGGAGAATCCAACACACAACCGGTTCCAAACGGCAGTCTGGGGAAATATTTAGCAAGAGGAAAGGCACCCCGAGACAGATCGGAGAGGAGCGAAACTGAACACCTGTCAGGGAGAGAGACAGAAGGAGAGCAGACCCCATGCTGACTAGAGTAGCATATGCAAGACAGGTCTTACACTAGAGGGGTAATGTATCTTCAGGCTTTCAGGATACATTTTGACCTGACAGCAATTAATATTAATCACCACGATTGATTAGCAAATCCATATGTTATAACCTTTGTTATAAGTCCTGTGGTGTTGTGTTTACAGATTGATTGACAGTAGACCTAGATGTCCTAGATTGTCGTGGTGATGTGTGAGTATGCGTGCAAGTGTAAATCCATGTGTTATGTGTGTGTGTAAGTAACTGATAGAACTCTATCAGGAAAGAATCCGCAGCATTAGTGAGCAGTAACAGTCTGAAGTGCTGATGAGGCAGTCTGGGTACTAGTGTTGCTGGTCATTTGGCTCTGCAGCGATGAAGCTCTTTGGCCCATATCACACATTCTGGACCTCCAATCCACCAGTTGCACTGTGTGCCCCTTCTCTTCTGAGTACATA